AGTGCCACCAGTCAACTGACCAACTGACCAACTGACAGGAGGCATGCCAGAGATGGCGCAATCTCATCCTGAACTTCGCGGATGAGGATAGGTCCTAAGCACATCCAAGGACCTCAGCTGGCTCAACGTTTGGTGACATTTGGCACCCATCGCCTCGTGTAAGTAAGATGATGTTGGAATATACTGTACATATATATATATATATATATATTCTGGGTCTAGGTTGAACGTTGACCAAGTTGAGGCACTCCAGGTGGGTCTTCAAAAGGACCCCCAGGCGGCCGTTTGATGCCTAGAGGGCGCCAGAAATGGCGCAAAAAATGGCTGCATGCCCTTCGGGTACTGTGCAAAATACACTCTCCCCGGAGGCATGCGGAGACCCAGACAGACGTTCCAAACGAGCCGCCCAACAGCTTTTAACCGATGCTGGCCTAGCCTAGCATCACCGCCCGTCATCATTTAGAATGATGGGTGAAATTTGGGACTCGTGTTAGTCGCCATCCATGAGATTTCACCTCAAAAAATCATTTGGATGGCAAGGACACGCTATTCTCAGGCACGGGTGATTTGAAGACGGTGCTCTTGTGTTGCTTGTTCGGAGGGGAACCCCAGCGTTTGCCGTAGAAATTTCGCAGGACAGGCAACTTCTAAGCTCCTACACCTAGATTGCATCAGAACGATGATTGGTTTAGCACACACTCATTCAGGGTTGGCGATTCAGCTGAAAATGAGGTCCCGTACTCGTTGCGGCTTGCAAGTGCAACCCCCTTCATAGGTTGAGAAGCTCCTCAGCGTGCTGAACAAGGCGTTTTCAGGGCGATTTCGTTTCCCTTGTTCATGTATCGTGTTGATTGCCTTCCTGGCCTGAGTGTGGGTTTACAGCTGGTGACGTGCTGAATTCAGTAACGCGTCCCTGACCGAAGCGTTCACGTCAAGAGAAGCGCCTCTTGGGCGTTTTTGGGACAGCGCAGGATGTGAAATACCCGTTGCAGGTTCTCCGTTATGCTTCGAGCTTGCGAGCAGCCAAGACTGGGAGAACATCACCTTGCTTCTTTGAGTGTTCCCTTGCATTTTTGTGTTTCCCTTGGCATTTGCTTGGCAGAGCATGCGGGGAATCTGAATCAGGAGCCCCACGGGCCTGTATTCATAAGTGCAGCTTGCATCATGCGTAGGTCTGGCGAGCTCAGTGGCTTTCTGGTTACGCTGCGGTCGAATCGCCACCAGGCATCCAAAAGAATTAAAGGACTATTGTCTTCCAGGGCCCCTTGGTTCCATGTTTGTCGGGAGGCTAGTTGAAGGGAGTACAGAGTAAGCCATAAAGCCAATGTTCAATCCCTTATGCACATTCAGCGATGATACAAGTATTGGGTTATGAGAGGGTCGGGGGATTTCACGTTTTGCGCCTTTGAGAAAGTTCTCAGAACCCTCCCTCCTTCGGGGGCCCTAGGTATTTCCACATTTGATGCAGCCGCAAAGTAGGGGTTCATCAAAACTCAATTGCAAACAGTGGTTTTCCAGAAGCGTTTTTGGGGAGATCTGACACGTAGGCACGAGGGTTCAAGAAGAGCGCTCGCCATTTTGAGGTGTTCTTCTTTCGGATTGCGCATTTCTGGATGCAGGTCAGCTGCTGTATGACTCATTTTGGTAGCATTGAAGGAGGTCTGAACTCGGTAACAACGGATGTCTTCCTTGTGGTCTTATGGCAAAAATACGGAAACCCCACTGCTTTCGTGGTTCCACTGGGTTTCCACAGGGCACAACAAATGCAATTGGATACAATTCGCCGTCTGTTTTCGTTCCAGAAAGCGACGGGGCGCTCTCAGCTGCACAGCAAGCTGACTGCGAGGTGCGGATATATTTAAACCACACCTGCAGGTTTGCAGCCTGGAAGTTGACGATGTGCTAAACATGGGTGTCCTTCATCCCATTTACCCATCTGTTTTTCCAACACTCATGGTGGTGAACCCATGCGGAAAGAACAAGTTGCCATCCAAGGTTGAGTTAATGAAACACTGTGATCACCTTTTATTTCTGGGTGCTTTGGGCAACTGAGGATTCCTCCAGGGTTCACTCACTTGCGCTTGGTGAGTCCATAGCCAAAAGGGAATTGAGACAACCATCAGGTTATAAGGAAGGGAGCCATAGACCCCACTGCATCGACCCCCCTTGGGTTTCAGAAGCTGAGCCTCCCTCCTCTAAACCCCCAGACAAGTTTGCCTCCTAGCTATGCAATTGGAACCGAGTAGGTCCATTTACCTGCTGAGGTGCTCCGGGGAATCACCCTTTAAAAGCCAAAAGGAAAACGGCTGGTTACCCACAAGTCACCGGGATCCACTGAAGCATTGCAGAAGAAAAAAGTGCCAAGAGAGCCAAGACATTGCAGGCCTTTAAAGCAGCAATATATCTCAGAGTGCGACGTCGATGGGGCTGTGCAAACCCTGGAGCCCATTCAGGCTGCCAAAGGCGGCCACTCCCTCCCAGCGCTTTGACCATTGCCCATGAACAATGGAGTGACCGGAAGTGCCGGGAGTGCCACTCTTGACCCCACGAAGAGCGAGATGCGAGCCGTGCCGGTCAAGCTCTGAGCTCTTTTATTCGACCCAAAACAAACTAAAACATACTTACGGATTTCAACTCTTAGTACTACAAGCTTCTTGCCAGATTTGAAGCTGCTAGGCAGATTCGAGGCTGTCGCTAGATTCCTCTTGGATCTGATTCTTGTTTGTCTTCTTTCGGCAGATCTTTTGCTCCGCTTGCGAAAGGCTGCGCATGGCGGGGCCGTCAAACTATTACTCAAAGAAGGATGACATGTCATGGCATGCATCTAGGATCCACTGCGCATCAGCGGCTCTACAAGCTGTGCTCGTCGAAGAGTGCGACACGGCAGGGGCCAAGAGAGATGGCACCTCTTGCAGGATCCGAGGTAGGCGGCATCCTATGGCGTAACTGGACTTGTCCTGCGAGGTCCGGTTGCGACTTGTGAAAAGCAATGGTTGGGCTCCGCCTTGCCCAACTTCTGTACAGAGCTGACAGGCTCGCTTGCAACAGCTTGCAGCCTCACTGAGATGGACAGAGACTATGGCTTAACAAAAATCGGGGCAAAGGGATTTCTGAGGTTTTGACATTTTCAAGTCGCTCAACTTCCCAGACCATCTCAGAGCCAAACCTGATATGGCTTGGCCCCCCGCCAAACAACAGGTGGTTGCTTCTCCTCCCTCCGCGGCGTCTTGTTTTGTGATTGCGCGATGGCGTGCCATTTCGCAATATTCCACTCTGACAGTTTGGGATTCCAGAAAGGCGCTACTGAGGAAGACAAAAACAAATGCATCATTAAGACATAAATACTGGGGAAAGCCCCTGCCAAATGGTGCAGGATTGAGTCCATCCATGGTACTATCGGATTACTATCGGAACATGTTGTTTGTGCGCAGCAACTGAAGTCCTGGAAGTCTTCAATTGCTTGTCGTGACATGTGCGGTTAGTGCGCGCAAGAAGTGAGTGGACACGAGAAATCCCACTTGACTTGAATGCTCTAGTGCCACGGGCAAACAAGAGACACTTAACCCGTATTTGTCCAGAAAGGCTCAAACTACACAATTGCACAGTCTTTGCCATATTGCTAGGGACTAGGCCGTTGTGTGCCATGGAAGGAGGCTTTGAAGCGGGGTCAACGCAGCGCGTTTCTAGTCATAGGCCCCCGGCAGGTGCCATTCGCTTCGCTCGATTTGTGTTTTTTAGCTTGGAAAGCGGGCTGCTTCGTCGGCCTGTCGGCGAGAGGCAGGTTCAACGAAAGAACGTCTGAACTTCTGCATTGTGGATCTCAGCTGCAAACCCTTTTTGTGATACCCCTTGGTATTTGTCCTATTGGTTTTTATACCGGGGGGTTCCCTAAGATACCTGCCAAGGGACGGGTGATTTGGGAAATGGATGGGGCATTCGGGGAGAGCGTCAGAAAGTGGCATCTAGCTCGGAGTCTATGAGAAGTGCGAGGGCGAGCCGCACATGGGTGTGCCGGCAGCCTTGGCATGGGGTCGGAGGCTCCCACGTCTTGCAGAGGATGGCATGGGGCAGTCAGTGACCCAGGCATGCTCAACTCGAGCGTGTCTGCAACAACACATGGGACACAGGGGCAATGCCCTGCCGTGAAACGCTTTTTGTGTCGGGGCACGGCTCGCAATTCCCAAGCCATGCCGGCAAATTGCGAGCTTGCTTTCCTACAGTAACAGTTGCGTGTAGGTAGGGAACATGGAAATCGCCTGCCAAATAATAAACGGGCCGCTGCAGCAAATTGTGAGTTTACTTTCCTATCTATACTAACAGTTGTGCGTAGGTAGGGAACATGGGAATAGCCTCATCCTGACCATAAACGGAACGCTGCAGAGAATGGTTGATGACGTCGATCCCCTTTTTCACTTAGGTTGAAGACAGCTATTGTTGTAAGATGTGTGATGTTTGCATAATTTCATCTTTGATTGGTGCAGGAGACTGCCCCATATCCTCCGAAGTGGTTGATGCCTGAAATTTGCCTTGATTTCTTTGCGGCTTCGCCACTTTCAACGGGCTGGAAGCTGCAAGCAAGAGATCAAGGGGCCTTCGCGGCGGTGGCAAACCTGGGGCCCGTGTGGGGTTTTTTGCAATGCAGACACCTGACTCGACTCTTTGCTCCGCCCGGAGACCCGCGAATTCAACCGAGGGGCCAGAATCGGCCGAAACGTGTGGCGACCACAATGTCTGAAGGCGTTTTCGTCGCTGCGGTGGAGCCGCCCTCAACTATTTCCGCGGGGCCTTGCTTTTGACCCAGGCCCACGCGTAGAAACAAGACAGAGAACGCAAGGACGAAAAATGGCGCCACGTGGGCGGACCAAAGCGAAACAACACCTCCCCTCCCCCCCTCTCCCCCTCCCCCTCCCCCTCCCCCCCCCCCCTCTCCCCCACTCCCCCCACTCCCCCCCCCCACTCCCCCCCTCCCAATTGATTGTCACCACTTGGTTGCCGGAGAGGCCTGGGCGCAGCACCCCCAGCAGAAGCACCCCTCGTGCCGAAGGGCCGCTCGGCGAGTTGGCGAGGGAGGGCAGCTCCTTGAGCTCACCCAATGGGTCCTCCAGGTTCCGTTTTCGGGTGTCACCCATAACAGGGGTCCCTATATTTCCTTGCATTCTAGTCGGAACACCCTCAATCGCTAAGCCACACTTGTTGGTCACTGCTTACCTGACCTATCAGACTTGCCATGCCTTTTTCCATGACGTTCAGGCGAGCGTAAGTGGTAAGTTTCTTTTTGGCGTTGCCATGTGCCCTGGGTGCCTGTTTGCACACAGCCAAGAACGGATAGCCACATCCTAACCCCCAAACCCCCAACACACACGTCGTGGTTGGGGAAGACGCGCATCAAACCAAGATCGCACCTTCGTTCGCGGGGCGTAATGGGTATCCGGCAACCAAAGAGTGTGGGTATTTGTTTTGTTTGTTCCAGACCATAGGGGGTCTTTGTTTTGGATGGCACCTTTTTTTCCCAGCAAACCCACAAATGGTCAGTTTTGAGACCACCCCCGGTACTATGGCCTCAAATCACACCTCGCAATTCGCACGCGTCCCTCGAATTCTGTTTGGAGCCCGGCGGTTGGTTGCTTGCCCAATTGCCCTCAATAGCCATGGGTTCAAATCCAAATCCAATCCACCGGGCTCCAAACCACCAGAGCGATTCCGCAGATTCGAATTGGTGGTTTGGGATTTGAGGTCCTGGCTCTTGTGGGCAAGTGCACCGTGAAAAAGAAAAAAACTACTCCAATCTGCCAACTAAGGGAAACCTTCCAGTCCGACCTTTTGACCTTTGGGTTTTCCCGCGTGGGTTCATTTTTATTCACGGCCTCAAAAGCTGATCACCTTGTATGTATATTTCTGGGTCAAGGGGCCCCCGTTCGGAAACCCAACAAAATGATTCGATTCCCCAACGTAAATGCCGTAACTTAAACCCTGTATGTTCCCATGGTTTCTTTTTGGTGCGAGCGGATCTCACGTCCATCCGCGAGGTATGGCTTCAAATCACCCAAGGTTACTTCCATTTGCTGCAATGTTTGTTTGTTATTGTGATCATTATGTTCCTCTCTTGGTTTGAAAGGGAATCGATTTCACTACTGGAGAAATATTTGTTCTCATTTTTCCAGGGGACTTCTCCGGGGTGGAGCCCAAGTTTTGCTCACTTTTCAAGTGCCTGGACTTACTTTTCCAGGGGGCGAAAAAGCAAAAACACACACATCTGCAGTTGTCCAAAGCAAATCGGCCTGTTAACCTTTTGGTTTTCCCCTTGTTCATGTGCACTCACGGTCCCAAAAGCTGATCACCTTGTATTTCTGGGTCCTTTGGGCAACTGAGGGTTCACTGAGGGTTCACTCCCTTAGGCTGCGGCTTCAGTCCATAGCCAAAAAAGGAATTGAGACAACCATCAGTACTGAACGTATTGTTAGTTTTTTCCAGGGAACAGTGACACAAGGAAAGATGATATGAGGAGTTCGTCTTTGGGAACAAGCAGGTCTTTTTGCCAGCTTTCGTGGAAAAATGATCGACCCCCCCACAGTGAAGGATTCCTTTTTGAGGGGGTCGCCAATTTTCTCGCAAAAGGTGGCAAAAAGACCCCCCTGTTTGGGAAGGGGCCTCTTGGGGGGCTTCTGAGCAAATGGCCATGGATCATTACCTATGCCTCCATTTTGGGGCGGGTGAACACCCATGTACCACCTATTTTCTTGGCGGCTCCCAGCCATCCGGTTCCTTGTTTTTTTCGCCTTTTGGTGTTTCGTGGTAGTTTCCACTTAACCCACTAAAAGTTAGTCACTTTTCGCGGGGGATCTGAACACGGGCCAGCCCAGTTTTGATGTTCACCAGGAGGCTTCTGAGCAGATGGCCATGGGTCATTACCTATGCCTCCATTTTGGGGCGGATGAACACCCATGTACCACCTCTTAGTTGCCCAAAGCCGACCTTTTGACCTTTTGGTTTCTCCTTTTTGGTCTAGTTTTAGTCATGGACCCAAAAGGTTAACCTTGAATGTCACCAGGGGTACGCTTTGACCCACAGCCAAAGGGAAGGACCTCGAAGCTCCTTCGATCCACAAAGCCGAGGCCGGGCTGGTGGAGCTTCACCGCCGCGGGCTTCGTCTCGGGCGAGCGCCCGACGACCACGCCCGGGGCGGCCAGGCACCACCGGATCTCCACGCCGAGGTGGGGGGTGTGGGGGGAGGGAGGGAGGGGAGGGGTGGCGGTTGGAGGGGTGGCGGTTGGAGGGAGGGGAGGGGAGGGGAGGGAGGGAGGGAGGGAGGGAGGGAGAGAGGGAGGGGTGGCGGTTGGAGGGAGGTTGGAGGAAGGAGCTAAGGCGCAGCAAGCACCCCCAGGAACATGCCCTGTGTCAAAACTCACTTGCCCAAAGGACTTGGAAGTAAAAGGCTAACCTTTTTGGATTTTGACTAAACATTGACAAACAAATGGAAACCAATAGGCCAATCAGTCGGTTTGGACGACTGAGGATCCATCCTGCTACATCAAGGCAAAGACTCAGTTGAGCTTCTATTTATGTTTTAGGGGGGGGGGTGGCCCAGCCACCGGGGTGAGGTGGTGAAGAAAGCTTGTTTGCTGTTGCGTTTGCACACTGATGTTTGTGTGTTGTTGTTTGTTGTTTGTTTGTTTGTTTGTTTGTTTGTTTGCTTGTTTTGTTTGTTTGTTTGCTCGTTTGATTGTTTGTTTGTTTGTTTGTTTGCTTGTTGTGTTTGTAGTCTTGGTAGATTCATTCATTGGTTGGCTCATCGGTTGATGGATTGATTTGATTTCATTTGATTTGATTGATTGGTTGATTGGTAAATTGGTTCATTCATTCATACATTAATTCCTTCATTCATTCATTCATTCATTCATTCATTCATTCATTCCTTCATTCCTTCATTCCTTCATTCCTTCATTCCTTCATTCCTTCCTTCATTCCTTCATTCCTTCATTCCTTGATGCCTTCCTGCCTTCCTGCCTTTCTTCATTCATTATCTATTTCTTTCTTGATTTATTTCTTTCTTTCTTTTATTTTCTTTCATGTCTTTCATTTATTTCACGTCTTTCATGTCTTTCTTTTCTTTCATTCATTTCATTTGTTCATTCATCTGTTTCATTCATTCATTCATTCATTCATTCGTTCGTTCGTTCGTTCATTCGTTCATTCGTTCATGTGTTCATGTGTTCATGTGTTCATTCATTCATTCATTCATTCATTCATTCATTCATTCATTCATTCATTCATTCATTCATTCATTCATTCATTCATTCATTCATTCATTCATTCATTCATTCATATTCATATTCATTCATGCCTTCATGCCTTCATGCATTCATGCGTTCATTCATTTATTCATTCATTCATTCAGTCATTCATTCATTCATTCATTCATTCATTCATTCATTCATTCATTCATTGATTCACTCATTCATTCATTTATTCATTCGGGCATTCATTCATTCATTCATTCATTCATTCATTCATTCATTCATTCATTCATTCATTCATTCATTCATGCATTCATGCATTCATGCATTCATGCATTCATGCATTCATGCATTCATGCATGCATGCATTCATTCATTCATTCATTCTTTCATTGATTTATTTATTTATTCATTCATTCATTCATTCATGCATTCCTGTAATTCATTCATTCATTCATTGCTTCATTCATTCCTTCATTCATTCTTTCATTCTTTCATTATTTCATTCTTTCATTCTTTCATTCTTTCATTCTTTCATTCTTTCATTCTTTCATTCATTCATTCATTCATTCATTCATTCATTCATTCATTCATTCATTCATTCATTCATTCATTCATTGTGATTGGTTGTTTTGCTTGCTTGCTTGCTTGCTTGCTTGCTTCCTTGCTTCCTTCCTTGCTTGCTTGCTTGCTTGCTTGCTTGCTTGCTTGCTTGCTTGCTTGCTTGCTTGCTTGCTTGCTACGCCGGGTGATGTTCCAGTGGTGCGATATTATTGTAGGTAACGTTCTACCACCAAAAACAAAACAGGGGAGGGGAAAACAAAAAAAAACGAGAACAAAACGGCCCCCTAAAAATATGTGTCTTTCAAAACTTCATTGCCCCAATAGTAATTTAAACTATGCCAATTCTACACCAATACTAAACTAGGGATTTCTCCCAAAGACCGATTCTCCAGTCCAGTCGTATTGGGGCACCCTGTGCCCGGATGTACGCATGACCGGGCCTACACAGAAGTGCAAGACACGGGAGTTGGCCGCCCAATTCTTCAACTGGGGGACCCGTACTAGCGAAACATGTTTCTCCCCAGAAAGTTTTTTAGTAGAGAGAGGCATATTGGAAGGTGGAGGACGCCATATGCGTCCTGTTGGCTTCTTGTTGGCTTCGTGGCACAGCCCCATAGCTCAAGAAGAGCTTCTTGCCCTGGAAAAGTGAAAAACACCTTAGCGCACGGCCACGGCTACATCACTGGCTGACATGCCCTCCAGGACAGACCGGCGCGACAGAGGCGAGGGCTGATTTCCGGACCCGCGACGTTTTAAATGAACCATGGGCCACAAGAGGCTGCGGATCCAAAGGCTTTAATGCATCTGCTTATGGGGGTATCACAGTCAGAAAATGGATTCGGTTGTTTCCCGTTAACCCATCACGTAGGGGTTGACTTTGATCACAATCATGAGGCCAGTGCATGGCTGGTCTTTGGTGAGACCGAATTGCCCAGACCTTTGGGACAGATCGCAAGGAGGACCTTAAACACTTTTTGGAAACTAGTTGTCGTTCCAAATCAAACAAAAACTACAAAAGGCTAGACCTTTTGCTCAGCGAAGCGCAACGTAGCATGTCCCATGTTCGCTTTTCGGAGGGCAGATCCTTGAGACGGTGCTTTGTGTTTCCTGAGTTGGAATGGAGCGAGGGGCGGTTCAATGGGAGAGCTGTCTTTCAGTGCCCCGCGTGTGCTTGTTGGGAATTAGCTAAGCAGCTAAGCAGCTAATGTTAATTCCGGATTATTAAACCCCTGGTTGATTTTTCAGGGGCTGTCCCTTTTTAGTGGGGATTCAGACCACTTTTGTATGGAACACCCCCCTAATAATGGGACGGGTTTATTAATCCTGGGTCAACATTAAGCAGCTAAGGGCCCAATTCAAGCGGGCAGTTGGTTTTCCGTAGGGCGCAGTTGCCAGGGGCAAGCGGCTGCTGCACCCCCTTCTTTGTCCAGGTCAATGAGCCCATCTTGTTTTGGGTTCTCCGGATTCGCCCTTGCAAGTAAGGGAGCCAGGATTCCCTCCCCTCTTGTAAAAAATGCCATTGGAAGCTACCCTCTCGATCCGTCCAGGCTCGGGGCATGCAACAGCCCGAGGCCCCAGTCGTTTGATTTCAAGGGGGCCTCCAAAGAAGGACGCATGAAACCAATGAGTTGTGTTGATGTTTGATTCGTTAGTTGCTTTGGTGGTTTGGTTTAGTTTGTTTGATTGATTTGGGGTGATTTGTTTTATTGGTGTTTGATTAACTTAGTTTGGTTTGGTTTACTTATTTTGTTTGTTTGTTTGCTTTGGCTTAGCTAGCCAGTTAGTTAGTTAGTTTTTGTTTGTTTGTTTGCGTTTGGTTGTTTGGGTGGGTGGGGATTCGAGCTCTAAGATCATGAAGGGCCAGCTGGATGATTTCAGAAGGTGCCCTGCCCCCTGATGGGCATGGAACCAACGCTCATGCGATTCTTAGATCTTGCTTGGTGACGTTTAGTTTGCCAACTCTGGCTGACCGGCAACTGGATAAACAAATCCGCTCCCACCATTCTCAAGCGCCGCTGGAGCAAGGATCTTAGTCGTTCAGGATGGGTGGTTATGAGGTCCTGTCTGTGTTTGTTTTGCCGGTTTCGAACACGCAAAGGGGGCCGTGACCCAAGTTATCAATGCCAATTCCCGCTGGTCGAACAGTATTTGGGAGCGTAGATCCGGGTATCCTGCCTACATTCGGAACCATATTTGACTACAATTTGTTTTTACAGTGAGGGCTTTGTCTGGCGAGATCTACATTTGTGTATGGTTTGATCCTCTTTGGTAATGCAGACCACTATTGATGAATCGAGGTATTGGTTCTTCAAACGAGGGTATGAAGCAGTGCGGCGCCTTATGAATCTCTTGATGAGCGGTGCCAAGGTTTGGCATCCATCACGGCTGAGAGGCTGGCAAGGGAAAAGGCAAGCACGACAAAGGCAAGAAGGGCAAGTGTGGGTAGAACAACAATCAGCAACCCAGGAAAAGGTTATGGCGGCAATCAGAACGCGCAGAACTGGGGCAGAATGGTAAGGCAAGGGCAGTTTGCGAAGAACCGGCTGCAGAAAGGCAAAGGCAAACCAGGCGGCAAAATAGGTCAGCAGCAGGCAAGGTTTCACAGGCGCGGCTTGGAGCGCTCCTCCGTTTCGTGGTGCCCATGCACTCCACGTACAAACATAATTTGGATGATTAACGTGGGTATGAACTCCGTACATTGTTACATGATCCCCTTCACAAGATACAAGGAAAGAAACAACGGGGAACCAGCCCAGCTGCTAACACAGAAAGCTCCCAACATGGCTCAACTCATTCAACTCAAACGAGGCTCCGGCCAAGACGATGGGTGCTGCTCAAAGAGTCCCAAAACCCGCGGGTCGTGTCCGCGGGATCGTTGCACAAAGGTCGGGGAAGCAGCTCTGCGCTCAACGGACGGGGCGGTCGTCGGTGGGATTGAGTCGGTTTTGACAATGTTAACCCGGGATTAAGAAAGCCCTGGTTGATTAACAGGGGGGTGTCTCCTTTTGGTGGGGATTCTTCACTTTTGGAGAGAACACCCCCCTAATTAATCCATGGTTCAACATCAGGCCTCAACCCCCCGCCCTTCCCACCATGAGCCGTAGCTGCAAAGGAAGGCACGCGACAAACCAGTTGATAACCGTTGGGATTGCCTGGGCTGATTCTCGTTGGTGTGATTTTCGATGGTACCTTGAGCAAAGTCGATTGTGGCCACAGGGGAGGGGGTGAGCAGTCCTGTGGGCACGTTCATTAGGCCAAAGGGATCAAGTAGTCGCGTCCCCCTGTTATTGCATCCCAGAACCCCACCCGCCTCCCTGTTAGTAACATATTGATGAATAGGGGTCCAGGGGTTCCATTCCGGTCCTCGTCGAAATGGTGCCCTCCGCCAACATCGCAATCTGCCGAGCCTGGAATTTGTTCCAGTCACTGTGTTGGTTTTGCTAATTCATTTTGTGCAGGCAAGATGCAATTTTACAAGTAAAAGAAGGAAGTGCTGAAAGCATCCCCCAATAAGGGCTGCCAGGAGTTTAGTATTGGTTTGTTGTTGGGTCAATTAAAAGTATCAGGGGGGATGTTTATTTGTGGTTTTGATGAACAACATTTTAATAGGAGTGGATCTTAACAACGGGGGAAGAGATTACTTTGTGTTCACTCCAAAATCCCGCCACTCCTTTCTTTCATATGAATGAGTATTCCTTAGCAATGGTGCTGGAATTCATTTTGTGAAGTTGGTGGTGCCGTTGTTGGCGGCAAAGCCGCCCGCGTGCTTCACCTGAGGCAGGCGAGTCCGTGTGTTTTTTTTGTTTTTCTCCTCCCTCCTCCGAAGGTGAGAGACATAGTAAGAAGCCAAAGTGCGTTTCGAAAAAGTCTGCATTGACTGACTTGTGGTTTTCCCATGTTGTATGTTGTGGGCTAAACCCAGGTTTTCTTGGAACTCATCATGCAACAATTGGACAATAACACAACTTGAATTCATATTGCACCATTGGATTTGGTCCCCGGAATGGGTCGTGTCTTTGGGCGCCTAAAAGGGAAGCGTTTCGCGCTTGACTGACAAATTGAGGCTTTTAACGCATTTTAAGATGCTATCGCGCGACGAAATCGGTGGCTGCTGGCTGGTGGCGAGCCCTGTTGGTTGAAGATCTTTGCGAGGCAGGCACGCCTCCAAAGACAAGCTTGCAGCAACCTGCAGCGACACAGTGGCTACTCAATTCGAATGCCATAGTTTGTTAAACTTTGGTGCATTTTGCTTGGCTGTTAGGACTTTAACTTTTTGCCAACTAATGGGTTTTCCACTAAACCACTAAAAGTTAAACTTTTAGCAGGGGAGCAGAAAGCAACCAAGGGTAGATGGATGCGTTTTGACTGCCGTCATATGGTGTGCTGCCCTTACATCTTGGCCTCGCGTGCATGTGCTCTAAGCTTTGAAACGTTTGCCTTGGAGCTTTGGCGAGTCGGATCGTTTGACACCTCTTGACTCCCTGGGCCCGAGTGTGTAACAGGTATGGTAAGCTCACATGTGAAGTCGTGATGGACATGTTGTCAGGGTGGTGGACCATAGGCGCCGGCGGATGTCCCATGCGGGGGACGTGTTGTGTTGGCTTCCCTTCCAACCAACCCACACCCTCAAAGCCTCGCAGGAGGGCTTGGGCTGCACCATCCGGCCAGGCGAGCCTGAGAACGCCACAGGCTTTTGGCGCCACGGTTTTCAAAAGGATCATCCTCTCTCCCAGATGGCATGTGGCAGGGGGCTCCTCCATGAGGAAACTGATCTTCAGATGCCCTCCCACAGTTGCCATGTTCGTGGGAGGAGATGGAGGAAGGGTATGGGCTAAAGTATGTTCGAGTCCTTAGGTATCAGATCTGTGGACTGGGTTGCTACGGCAGTCCCCCAATCCAATCCCATTGCCTTTTTTGTTGAAGTCGGCAGACCGGCCACTCAAAGCAACACGATGGGTCGCAATACTCACTTCTTGAACTCCTGCACTTTAGTGACTTTGGGTTTGGTTCATTTTTGTGGAAGACAAACAGTTTAAAGTTTGCACTTCTTTTGGCCAACCCACTCCGGAATTGAGAGTAAGCGACTTTGGGTTTGGATCATTTTTAAGTAAAGGCTGCGCTTTTTAGGAATCGTTTGGCCAAAGGTTAAGCTGCGCAAAGGACACACCCTTTCTTCTAGGGCCTTAGGCCCTGTGCGGGCGTCCGGAAAAAAACGCCAAATGTTTTGACTCAATTAGGAGCCTGGTATGGGCGTGTCTTTTTTTGAGGGTACTCCTGTGTTGGCGGGTTTTAAGGGGAAACCAAAAGGACAACCGCCATTGTTTATTTTTGGTTTGGGGTGGGTCCCTTAGTGTTGTTTGACCATACGCCCGGGCCGCTTCGCAGCTTCGCAAGCGCTTGCCAGATGACAAGAGCCTGAATGGCCGTGTCCATCGAGCGCTGCAGACCCATGCGGCCTTGCAGACGCAGGCGGTGAAAAACAAAAGACGAGACCTGGACTCAGACTCGGACACACCACTAGGTCCCCCAGTAGTGCCCTTTTACCCGTTTTTGGGGGAGGGTTCCGCTACTAAAATAGACTACAGAAAAAAGGGTACCCTTATTCTAACCTCTGTACTGGAGGACCTAGACCAGCCCCAACTTGGATCAGGATGGGATTTTCCATGCAAGTCGTAGCTTGGACACCGGTGCAACCTAGGTCCCCCAGTAGTGCCTGCAGGGTTCCCACTACAGAAAAAAAAAGTGCCCTTATTCTAACCCTCTCTCGTGGAGGACCTAGCAACTTGGCACCAAAAGCAGCCGGCGAATCCCATCTCACGAATCCCGTTGTGTGCAGGCCTTTGTGAAGTCTTACATCGCCCTCACGTCAGAGAAGAGGGCCAAGAGCAAAGATATCGCCCAACCTGCTGATGGCAAGGATGGTAGCCACATCATGCAGCTTGGCCTTCAATGCTTCGAATGGGCAGCCGGGGATGATCAATATGGGTATATATGGTCACATGCACATAGGTCCGCATATACGCATGGGTCCGTAGTCCGCACACAACGTGTATACATCTATACTGGCTCGTATCCCCAAGGCTTCGCGGATGGTCGCCGCTTTTTCCGCGGGAGAAAACCGTGGGCCGCTGGGCAGTCGCCCACTTCAGGCGCATCGTGGCGCAGGTGCCGGGCAAGGCCCAGATGAAGCTGGCCCAGACCCTTGAGCGCCGCTCGGCTCCGGGGGTGTGGGGGGGGGGGGTGGGGTTCGTAGGGCGTTTTCCGTGAAGCTCCGGTGAAGCTTTGGTGAGGCACTTGTATGCTTTTGCTTAAGGATTGGCCACTGAAGTGTCACTTTTGAAGAAGAGATCCGGTGACCCCTGGACTGGTTAACATGTTGTCCACGAATCATGGAAGTGGACAAGGACGTCTTGCAAGCCCCTGCTTTCCACTTCCATGAAGATTGGAAAGAGCCTGCTTTCCACTTCCATGAAGGTTGGAAAGAGGGAAAGCCAATTTCTGGTGGAAGATGATTTTTCTCTTCAACGGACCCTCTGTCAGGTGCCATGGCAACGTGGGAGGGAGATTGTTGGAAAGACTTGCTGGTGCTCAGTAGAGGATTCCCTTCAAGGAACCACAGGGGTCATTCCCCGATTCCCCGCCTCTCGAACCTTGACTGCTATTGGTTTGGATATTTAGACTTTTAACTTTTTGGGAAATAAAGGTATTTCACTAAACCCCCAAAGAGTTGAGCTGTTTGCAGGGTGGTCAAGCAACCAAGGAACCAGCAAGAAGAGCCCCAGTTCCATGCGCACGCGCGAGGCCTCTCAGTGCCCCACGAGCGCCGTGCGCAGCAGCGCGGCGCCGCGCAGAGCGCGCGCCCGGAGCTGCCGCCGGCCGCCTGGCCAAGATGTCGGTGGTATGGACTGGAAACCAGCCGTCCTATATCTCATAGAAGCCTATACTCCTCCCCCCAACACTCCCCCCCAAAAAAAACACAAAGGTTTATCAAGTTTTTAGAATATCAGATTCACCATGTGTTGTTCAAGTAAATCCCGATGTTTCTCAAGATGGCTTAGGGACTTTTGTTGGTGCGAAAATGGGAATCCAAGACGCCTTCAGCATTTCAGGACGCTGACAGCATTCCGAGCGTGTCCATTTGGTTTCCCTTCGTCTGATGGCCCAGGAAACGCCCTTGCTGGCGCAGACGATTCGGCGTGCGCGGCTTAGGCGAACTCGGAAAAGGGTAGGAAGGTTTGTAGTTGGTTTAGTGCGGGTTCCATGCAACCTGAAAGTTAAGCTTCTAGGGCAGCTCAAAACGGACAGCCCAGTCTAGCTGGTTTTCTTGGGTAAGGGTATCAGTCGCTCAAATGCCGGCGGTGTATCACCTCACCCGTCAGAGGCCTCCATGCCTTCCATGCCCATGGGGTTTCCAAGGCGTCGTTGCGGGCGATGGCTACCACGCACCTTGGCGCAGAGGCCTTGCTTCAAGCCATAGCCATGAGCGTCGTCCCATAGGGAGCACACGGATTATATCTATATCAAAGTCTGATGCTATATACATTTATGTGTATATTTGTGTCTAAATCTACATGCATGTTTAGATACTTATGTTGCTAAGATTGTGTATATATATATATATATATGTGTGTGTGTGTGTATGTGTCTCAATACTATATATATATAACTATGTCGGAGCGTGTGTTTGTCGCTTAGCAAGCCGGCCGGGCTGCGCTTTGTCACCCTGCACCCTGCATGCTGACCAAGGCCCCTTTTTGATGGGCGCCAAGTTTGGCCATTTATGCTTTCACCTCCCTTGGTCCGCTTAGGAATACGAGGGGGACAGCCGGCTGCCGGCGGATCGCCAGTCCACCTACGTCATGGATGAGCTCACTGCACGGGAGCTCACGAGCGACTCGGATCGGTGCATAGCGCCATGTTGTTCCCTGTGTTTTTTGCGGGGTTCCCTTACGAACTCACTTCCATATTTTGGTTGGGTGTTTAGTCACTCTTTGGGTTTGGACCATGAAAAGTGTCAGACAAAAAGTGTGGTTACTTGTTTGGCCAATGCACTCGTGCAAACAGAAACTGGCAAAGTCAAAACAGATGACTTTAGGGAGGTTTTTCTGGGGGAATACCTTATTCTTGGTGGCTCCCAGCTCTCCCCTTAGCTTTTTAGTCTTTCAGTGTTTAGCGGTAGTTTCCATTTAACCTACCAAAAGTTCTCAACTTTTCGCGGGGATCTGAAATCGGGCAGCCCAGTATTGAGGGATCTAGAACCGCCAACTGCCAAACGAATGCCAGGGCCGTGCCAAGCTGGGGCATGGTCAGTTGCAGGTGGCAAACACCCCTTAAAGGAACAACACAAATGGTCACCTGGCGCGGAACGGTTTCAGGTGAGCAGAAAGTGTCTTGCACTGGCATGTCTTACTAATTATCTTCCATGTGCTTCAGATTTTGCTTCATTCTCCCCTGGCTTTAAAGGGAATCGATCTCACTGTACTTGTTGTTCCTCGGGGGACGACTGCTGCACATGGAGGAATCATGACCCCGTCGATTTTTTAACGGGGTGGTTTCTACACCCCCACCAAAAGGGGACACCCCGATCAAAAAATCACCCACAGACGACGAAAAGCCCATGATGGCGGTCTCAACGTGCGCCATGGTCGGGTCAGAGACTTGGCAGCTCAGGCTATGAGCAGCGCAGCATTTTGGGAGTCTTCCGAGCACCTTGGCACAACGCCGAATCGAAAAGCTTTTGAACACATGGAAGTGCACAGACCCCTGGCAGAAAGACTACTCTCCTCGAACGGCGCTTTTGTGCACTTCCATGTTAGTTGGACGGAGGGTACCTACTAGAGACTTAGTTGCCCAAAGCCGACCTTTTGACCTTTTGGTTTCTCCTTTTTGGTCTAGTTTTAGTCATGGGCCCAAAAGGTTAACCTTTTACTTCTGGGTCCTTTGGGCAAGTGAGGAGAGGTTTGCCTGGAAGCAGTTTTGGCAAGGTCCCACTTGAGGGATCCCCCCGCTGGAACCAGCGCCCGGAGCCATGGACTCAAAGCTACTCACTTTTCTCTATCGCTCCGGGCGAGTGGGCCTGAGCAGAACCGTATGGCTTGGGAGCTCATGGGCTTGGAGTCCCTTGGGTTTGGAGCCGTGTTTTTTTTTTTTGTGGCAAATTCCTTGGCCATGGATGCATGGCACTCGAGAAGCTATCAAGCTGATTGCGATACGGGGAGGCGGTTGTAAATGGCAAGGGGTTGCCGGGGTTCTGAACATGCGGGCCTATCTTGAGACCACACGCGCTTTTGAGAATCGATGCAGATTGAAAGGTCCTGCATAAAGCAGGCCTGCTATTTTAAATCCAGCCCCATTGTGTGTGTGTGTGTTGAGTGTGTTCTTGG